AAAAGATACAAAAGAGAAAGTACTAAAAACCTAAAAATTTATGAAGAAGAACTAAGTGAAATAGATGCTAGTTCTATAAGTAGCGAAGAAAGTATATATGAAGTGGAAAGTTTATATACCTCTAGTAGTGATGAATCAGAATATTGAAGAAAGAGAAGTTTATTCTGAAGAATATGAAGGACATGGAGAATACAATCAAATAACTGTATTCGATAAAAGGAAATGTAAAAGAATTAGACAAAAGAGAATGAACCTTGCTTTAGAAAACGGATTCAAACCAAATTCCTTTATAAGTAATCCTTTTAAGAGAAAAGATATAGTTTATTATGAAATATACACTAAAAAATATAGTATTCCTATTAAGAATACAACGGGAATAATAAATATACCTTTGATTATCAAGGTAAAAATAGAAAGCAAACTATCAAAACTCAAAGAAGTTGATAGATCAAGGATAGGTTTTATCTACATTGGAGGAATACAAATACTTATTAAAGCTCATTTTAGAGAAGGAATAGACACCCCAATAAAATTAGCTTCAATAGATAATAGAATCAATGATAGAAAGGATGTTATTCTTGGATTAGTGCAAGGTAACCTTAGTTACTAGAAACTTATGTCTATAGTATATCCAAAATACGCTGTAAACATTAATGATAGAAATATTAATAAAACCTTAAATTTAGCACATGAATTTGCTAGAGAAAACTTTATGAAAGATGGATCAATGCCATATAGTATATACTATATGATAAGTTATGCATTGACTAATAGTCATCAATCTAATCTTTTTAAAGATAAATAATTTATTGAATTAGATCTTATGTTCTTAAAAATAGGACAAATTCAAAAACCAGAAATGATCACTAAAGTATAATTACCCAAAGAATGGGAAATATACATTAGTGAAAAACCACTCCTAATAAAAGAAATAGAAACGCCTAGACTAATGGCATATGAATCAGGAAAACTATTAGTCAAAGCAGAACTTGAACCAAGCCATAGAAATAGTATAGACTTAGGAGTTATACATTATCCGAAGAAAGATAAAGAGGTCTTAACTAGAACAACTAGTATAAAACATGAGGTAGTATTAGACACCTTAAAAATCCCTTCTAGAGCTTTCAAAATAAAAGGAGATTATTATGATGGGAAAGAAAGGCATAACATTTCTATCCTAATAGATACATGAGCAGGAGTAACACATATCCATAGTGATATTATCCCACACCTACCAAGATTTGAACTCCGTAAGCCATACGCATACTACAACTTTAATGGTGTAGTGATCACAGTACATGAATATGCTAAAGTACCTCTTAAAATAAAGGATAAGCATAAGATACAACATGAAATCACTATAAAGCTTATGCTGAAACAGAAATGACTGCAAGTATATAATTGATGCTAGGAAATACGTTCTTAACATCAGTACAGCCCTATAATATCCAAGAACATTGTTTAAAGATTACCTTAAGTGGAAAAGAAATGGTTATACCTCAATACTATGAAGACTAGTATCTATAATGTATACATATCCATTGGAATCAAATATGAAGAAGACAAAATAGAATTCTTTCAGGCTTTTATAGATACAGGGTCTGGGATATGTTTAGCAAAAACCAATCTATTCCCAAAATAGTATTAGAGGAACACCTCTCAAATTATAAAGGTGTAGCTATAGATGAAAGTATTATTCAATATAAAACAATAATAGAAAGAGTTACTACCGTAATTGGTGGAACTAAAGTTATAATTCCCCAAGTCTATGCAAGTAATGAGCATGGGAATAATATTCTATTAGGAAATAATTTCTTAAGTCAATTCAAGCAGTATGTTAAAACTGCATCATATGTAAAATTTTATACACCTTGTAGACATTGGCTTTATGCCTTCAAAATTTATAATGCTTATACTAGAGCAATAGAACCATTAAATTTTTGCAACCAACGTGGTGAAGATAATATAAACACTCAATCAAAAGAGATTAAAAAACTAATGTTAGCATTGTGGAATAATGAAAAAACACAAGAAAAAATAATTTTAGAATCTATCTCAGAAAAATTAAGAAGTAACTATGGAGAAGATCCTACAAAACTATGGGGAGTTGATAAAACTTATGCCATAATCGAATTGATAGACCCAAAAACTATCATTATAGTTAAACCAATGAGGTATAGCCTTAAAGATAAAGAAGAATTTGATAAGCAAATTATGAGTTAATAGCCCAGAAAATTATACAAGCCTGTTGACGACCACTTTAAGATTTTTTTTTTAAATAAATTGAAAAAATCAGGTGTGAAATATATAAGAAAAAGGGAGTCGCCACTCGTCCAAATTATAAGGTGAGACAAGTCACCTAAAACGGGTCTGCACAGAGATCGAGATTCGGGGGTTCGGTTAGGAGTGAGGAAGGGCATACGCGCACCTCACAATCCTCCGTTTAAACACGGTTGCATACTTTAACATTGGGGCTTTTGATTCAACTTATTTATTATATTTATGTTTTGAGTCTTAATAGGAAAGCCTGAAAAAGGGATAAACCAAATTGAAACATTTTTAAAATTTTTGGACTAAAATGGACGAAATCAAAGACATGCATGCACAATGAACACAAGTAAAAATTAAAGGGACTGATTTGAATAAAAATAGAGGACTGACTTGAAAAGGTTTAGAACTTTTGGACTAAAGTGCTTAAACATGAAAGCTTTGTGTGAAATTGAAATAAATGAAAGATATCTTTGACTTTGACCAAAATTAAAGTTAATTGAGAATTAAAATTAATTAATCAAGATAATTAATTTAATTAAATAATTAATTTAACATTAATTAAAATTAATTAAAATTAATTAATCACATTTACTAATCATTAATTTGAGATAATAAATTATCTAATTATCT